TGGTGACGTTAGAAAAAAATGGATTTTATTATAAAAATACTGTATATACTCACATATTATGCAACTTTTGAAGACCTAATTTTGAAGCTAATTTTAAGGGGGTCACATCATACATGAGATATAAAATTAGCGTATGTAATGCTGGGCCTGGCTACACCATTGACCAAACTATATATCCATTTACTGGAGTCAAATTAGCTTCAAAATTAGGTCTTCAAAGGATGCATGATACATAAGTATATATGGTATCTACATTTGCCAGAGGCTTACAGCCACATTCAAACACCAGTTACTGTCACCAAAGTTAAGCAACATTGATCCTGGTCAATACCTAAATGGGTGACCATTTGGAATTAACAGATGCAGTAAGCTTGGATGTGTGGGTGGTGTAATGGCTAATGGCTCGGAATTGTTAATTGGAGTTCTAATTCTGGTTGGATTCATTATATTGACTTGTGTGCAAATACCCTTGGGGAAAAATATGAATCTACCACTTTTCTCCAGCTATGAGTTAATAAATAAGACATATATCACAAAATCATTATTAGATCCCCCACCCCACAAATTCTTACAATCTAAAAATATTTCCTGTCTGATAAGCTGTAGAAAATGAATTAATCAATCAAATACTGATTAGCTATACAGGCATGTCTTTTAGATTTATTTACATTCTCTGGACTGTAAATATGGGGAAGACTACTGTGGCCTCAAAGTGAGTGATCAATTTATATAATGATTGCAATATAGAATTGATCCCCCCATTTTATACCCACATAATTTCTTGTTTATCAAATTCTGATTTTGTTCTGAATCCACCTGTTCTTCCCAGCTACTCGGTTAATAAAACTTGTATCAGTAAACCATTATTCCCCCTAGCACCCACCCCCCCTTTGCAAAAAAAATTCTTACAATCTAAAAATATTTTCAAACAGTTGATAAGCTATAGAAAATGAATGAATCAATCAATGCATTTGCCAGACAGTACATGATTTATAGTAATCATATTTTTTTTTTTTTTTTACTTCAATTGTATTATGTTTTTGTAATCAGATTTTACAAATATCAACTTAAATAAAAATAAACTGAGTTGAAGTCGCTAAAATCTAATTTAAAAAAAAAATGATATGGTAAAAAAAAAAAAAATTGAGCATTCATATATTTCATTCCCTGTCTCACTAATGCAAATTTTGTAGTAATAAAATCCATTTTTTTTTATCATACTGCTTGACTGGTGATAACATGTTGAAATAAAAATTTTCCAAATTATGCTATCTATCTACAATACTGAGCACTCTTCCCATATAAATATAGAAAATTTATATGTGCACACATACGCACATAATAAGCACTTGTGCCAGACAACCTGTAAAAAAAAAAAAAACAACTTACGTGTATGAAATTTCTTGCCTATTTAGCCTCAAGCTTTCATCAGAAGACAGATGTAAATAAAAAAAAACAAAAAAAAAAAAACACCAGAATAAGAAAATATTCTGTTAAAATCAAAGCATCATACAAATGAAATTCAGTTTACAATATTCCATATTTTTCCCACTGTTGAATACAATGCGAATTTGGAATTATATTAAATTTATTCTTAACTGCTGTAGACGGTTTAGTTACCTCCCTTGTTACAGAAACTCGATTTCGTTTTTTTTTTTTTTTTTTTTTTTCATTCACCAACCTTGTGCTTTCATATTGATACTTTATCACCTGAACTAATTTATTCATTGTTTGTTTTTCAGTATAAATTACTGTATGTGGCTTGGTGTGTTTATAGTGGCCGTTGCTTGGTCTGACTTGTCACTAACATTTTTCTTTTATAACCTTGATACTTTATTGAAAGATTTTAAGAAATTTGCTATTGAACATTGTTTGAATTTTATGACATCATCTTTAGGCTAGTCATTTGAAAAATGCTTCTGATTATTTTTATGTAATTATATATGTAATCTAAAGCACATTGTACAAATCATTTTTGTATTTTTAAATTTTAGTTTTTATCTTGAAGAGTTATAAATGACTTAATAAATATAATTTGTCATTGTATACTATATAGTAAAATCTATTATACTCAACAACAAGCAATTGAATAGTAACAAATTGATTCCTTGTTAAGCATCCCCATCAGATAAGTCCATTTGAAATTCATGTATTAAATATATTCTTTATCTATACTGACAGCACATCATAAGAATCAAATTCATTTTTTAAAATACTTGGACACTTGTTGTTAGTTTGATGAAATAAGAAATAGAATTTCCTATTATAATCTGACTCCTGTTTTGTTATCTTCAGCCGCCAGATGTCAGGGACATCATCAGCCGTGACGTCCACCCAGCTACAACAACAACAGCAGCAGATGAATAGTCAGAGTTATGTGCAAAATGCGTATCCCCAGACACAGTCCCACTACCAGGAGATACCGACACATCCTCCCCAAACAGCATCTACTGCTACGCGTGAACTGGACGAGCTGATGGCCTCACTTTCAGAGTTCAGGGTAAGTGTATTATTTTCTAAGTTTGTCCTCTTTAGGAAATATGTAATCCAAAGCTGTGTTTTGTTCACACAAATGAACACTTTTTTGTTATTTTTTTTCTGTTCTTATAGGTAACTAATTTTACTGTGTGCCAACATCAGACTACAATTGTATAATACCAGTTTAGGGCACCTTCTGCAGCCATGCTCTGTCCCTACAGGAGCTGTGCTCCATCTCTAAATTTCAGCATTAAATGACCCAGTACGTTCATATGCCATAAAACAAAAAAAATAAAAACAATTGTATTTAAAAAGAAAATAAAATAAGGGCTGATCTTGCTGACACTGTCTTATAAGACAAGTTTGCTAACCATTTCATCAGAATATAGTGTGTGTGTGTACATTTTTATATATATATATATATATCCAGTGTAACCTGGATATGAGAGAGTTGTCTGGACCAGCGAAGAAGTCTCTTATATCCGGGTTTGGTCTATTTTATATACATCAACACAGGCTCTAATTTGGGACCAGAGAAAATCTCTCTTATATCTGGGTTACACTATATATATATATATATATATATATATATATATATATATATAAAAAAAGAGAGTGATTAGAATGTTCAGTTTCTGACCATGATGCCCAGGTTTGTACTCACCATGGTAGATTTGTCAAGGAGGTAACCTTTGATGTTTTTGGCCTGTGGAGGTGACCCCAACACATGCCACCAAAGTGCCTGAAATTCATACTGCAAGTTGAACCAGGCCTTGTGAGTGAAATTATGTAGGCAAAACTATTCAGAACCAGTTGATGGTTTTGCTAGCAGGACATCAGAAGTCATCGTGATTTAGGGTTTGAGTGTATTGGCTTGGTTCAAATTATTGATCACTCTAGATGATGCACTCTTTCCCAGAAACTGTAACTAAGGTCAGCTCAGCATAGTTGTAGTATAAACCACAGATGAACTCTGTGGATGCTGAACAAATACAATTGTGCCTGAGCAGGTGTCGGCTACAGGAATTGGGTAGCCATCCTAGCAGACAGGTGTGCTCAGGTGAGTAACTGATTGTAGTTTTATTTATATATATATATATATATATATATATAGTCCTTCACAGACAGACTGTTTTGCTGTATCACAGCTCTTCAGTGTGGCCAGACATCCAATTGCTTCAAGCTGGGATTGAAACGCAACCAATTTGGCATCAGTCAGAGGTCCTACCCCTAAGCTATCAGTGCACAGCAGAAAGAAAGGGTAATTTTAGCATTTTCTATACAAAATATGTCAGTGGCCAGAACTCGATTTGTACTTGAAGAGTAATGCATTAATAGCAGGAGCAGGTATTATATATATATTATGAAATAAACTAACAATTATTTTAATATATTTTTTGTTTATACATTATTTTTATAGATACAACTGGTTATAATAAACAGTATTAAACAACATTTACCGGCCTGAATATCCAAGAAATTTCATAGAAAATATGTCTTTTGACTTTGCTAACCAAACTCTACCTTTGTAGCTAAATGTTATAGCACGTTAGGCTATATGACAGTCCCATGTTGGATACAGGTTTGATTCCTTGGGAAGGACACATTTTCTATGGGATTAAGGCCTCTGAATGTTGTTAATACTGTTTATTATAAACAAAGCATTTACTTAAATATTTGTATCTATAAAAATAAAAATGTATAAACAAAATATATATATATATATATATATATATATATATATATATAATATAAAACTCACACACTAATATTCCATGGTTATAATTTATTACATTGGAATGTAATCATGATCCATTTCATCAGACCCGATGAATTGGATCATGATCACTATTTCAATGTAATAAATTATAACCATGGAATATTAGTGTTTGAGCCTTTTATATTATATTCTTACTCTGTCCTGGACATTGAGTTTTACCTGGATTCTATCCTCTTGGGAATTTTTATATATATATATATATAGACCACTAATATTATCAAAATATATATATATATATAAATTCCCAAGAGAATAGGATCCTGGTAGAACTCAATGTCCAGGACAGAGTAAGAATATAATATAAAAGGCTCAAACAGTAATATTCTATTTGTAGGTCTAATGAATTGGATTGTGATTACGATTCCAATGTAATAAATTATGACCATGGAATATTAGTGTTTGAGCCTTATATATATTTATATATAAAATATGAGAGGGAAGTATGATAGGAAATGCTATATGAAGTAATATTTGTTGGCTGTAATATTAGAATAAGCAGAAATTGCAATTTCAGCTGATTCTGTTTATATGGTCCTTAATGCCAGAGCTACAAACAGGCTAGGATTATTTTCTGTACAATGAAAATGTATTGCTGTTGATTTATTATTACAGAAAAACATTGAAAATTAAAGGATAGGGATTTTCAGCAGTCAGGAATTAATGCAAACATTGTTGATAGGTCAGGGCTTACAATGTTGTATTTGTATCTGCTTTTATTTGGTGGAATCCATTTGTGAATTTTATTTTTCATCTATTTACTTTCACTTGCAAGAGCATCGGATTTTCTTGTAATTGATTTTCAAGGGTCACATCCGTGAAGACGAGAAAATTCTGAAGTTGTGTGAGTTGGAGTTGTTTGCAGTCTCGTCTGTTCTGTTGGTCTTGGAGATTTAGTTCTACTTGTTAATCACAAGAGAAAGAATGGTAAATAAATGAACAGAACCAGAAATATTTTCTATAAAGATTTGTTCTGTTCAGATTGCATTTGGTCAGTTGTAGATAGAATGGAGAAAGCAAACATATTTTCCTTAATTCTAAAATAACAAATATATAAGTGAACATTGAAGTTAACACTCAGAAGCGACAGGCTGTTTCATGCTAGACACTATTGTCAGGTCGCCTGACGAGGCTATGTCGAAGGGCAGTGTCTTGTCTCTGAAAATAGCTACCTGTAAAAAATGGAGTCAGGTAGCTGTCTCCAGAGACAAGACTCTGCCCTTTGACATAGCCTTTTTTACAGGGTCTACATGGAATTTTTGGTCAAGCCAATGGGCTAGGATACCCCACAATAAAACTCAGCCTTGTGTGGTGGTTAGTGGATATCTTCCACTTGGGATTCACCTTGATTCACTTTTAGCTCACCCCTAGCAGTTGATTACTTACTACATGCCACTGGTGTATCTTGTATATTGTTTCTGTTATAAATATTATTGTTCATTTCCAACCTTCATTTTGGTTATTCTTATTCAGTAACCTTTTCCTAGGTTACAACAGTTGCATAATTTAAAAGGCTCAGGCTTATTTAAAAGGCTTTAAAAACCTGAATTAAAATACTCATTTAAATAAAGAGTGATATTTTTTTTTTTTTTTTTTTTTCTTGTATAAGATTAAACACGGAGGTGAATAAAATGAAAATAATCAGAATCAAGAAAATTTTGACATAAGTGAATGAAAATTTGTGCTCAAGATGCAAGGGCAGGAAAATGACGTTGAAATATTTTACTCTTTAAGTTTTGGTGCAGGGTCAATACGTGGTGTCATTGGTACATAAGTTTTTAAGATTTTTTTTTTCCAACAGAAATTTTGTGTTGTGGCAGCTGATAAGAACTGTGAGTATTCAAGTTCAATTCCAGTTGTTAGAACCTTCTTGAACCAAAAAACTGATATTGGTAATCTCTCTCTCAGGTATGCACACACGTACACACATACAGCTGATTGTCATTATCAAGGATAATCTGACTTCTTGGGCTAAAAACTAGGATCTGTAATGTTTATTTTTTTCTTCTTTAGGTATGTACACCCACACAGTCTGTGGCTTCTACAGAGTGGGAAGAGAGTTCTAAAGCTTCTGTTACAGGGACCAATACATAGACATTTACTTATATTTTTAGCTATTTATTTAAAACATGATCATTGTTCACTGTAAGGCTTCTGTATTTACTTGCCTCTCAACAGTGGCAGGGTGTGACACAAGATTATTTTAATGTGGGTGCCCATAAAGGCCAAGGACAAAAATTGCTCAATCCCTGCAGCCACTGTCATGTTGTATTCCACCAATCCTCCCTCTTTCATGCAATGAGGGAGATGGTACAACAGGGTTGGTATTCCCAGGGCCAGGCATCCCTTGAAACATGAACTGCCTGAAGATAGATGTTTTTAGACTGGTAAAGAACAGATACTATATTTTGATCTTAGCCAAAAGGCATATACATAGCAATTTAGTAAGCATAGCTAAGATGTGGCACAGGACCAAAAGTATGAGGCTCCCAGTGAGGATTGAATTCGCTATTTGATTGTAATTGATCTAATGAGACAACCTTGCTAAGCATTACATCACATCGATGTGCCTAACTCTGAATACAAGTACTTAGCTATTTACTAAGTGTAGTTTAGTTGTGGTACCCAGCGAAGACCAAACTCACTACTCAGTCATAATTAATCTAGCAAGACAAGCTTGCTAACCATTAGATCACATCTAAGGCATGTAGGTAATAGCAAAAAATAGCTAGTCCCACAGGATTATGTTACGGACATCAGTGTACTCAAAAAATGCCTAATCCCATGGGATTATGTTACAGACATCAGTGTACTCAAGAACTGCCTAGTCTCATGGGATTATGTTACAGGCACCAGTATACTCAAGAACTGCCTAGTCTCATGGGATTATGTTATAGACACCAGTGTCATTTATCCCGTTAGTGCAATGGAAGATGAGTTCCCTGAAATTAACCCAAGTGAAAAGAGTTACTTCACATGTAAACCGTCTCTCAAGATCTCTATTGCTATGTCCTGAAAAGTATATTCAGAAAATGAGCTGTCAATAAAAATAGACAAAAAAAGAATGATTTTGCACACTTGTTAATTTTCAACTAGTCTTTCTTTATTTACATTTGAACTATTGTCCTAATCTTTGTTGTTGTTATCACAATGTTTCACCCTTTGTGCCCTCCAGCCTGTTACAGGCATCAGAGTAATCTCTCCCTATAGTTAATATATACCTTCATTAGGTGTATATTAACCTG